TGTATGAGAAAATCACGGCACTATAGAGAGAAAGAACAGATGTTTGAGAAAATCACGGCACTATAGAGAGAAAGAACAGATGTTTGAGAAAATCACGGCACTATAGAGAGAAAGAACAGATGTTTGAGAAAATCACGGCACTATAGAGAGAAAGGACGTATGTATGAGAAAATCATGGCACTATAGAGAGAAAGAACAGATGTTTGAGAAAATCACGGCACTATAGAGAGAAAGAACGTATGTATGAGAAAATCACGGCACTATAGAGAGAAAGAACACATGTATGAGAAAATCACGGCACTATAGAGAGAAGAACAGATGTTTGAGAAAATCACAACACTATAGAGAGAAAGAACAGATGTATGAGAAAATCACAACACTATAGAGAGAAAGAACAGATGTATGAGAAAATCACGGCACTATAGAGAGAAAGAACAGATGTATGAGAAAATCACGGCACTATACATGTAGGTAGAAAGAACAAATGTTTGTGCACGTGATTTTCTCTATAGAGAGAAAGGACAGATCTATGAAAGAATCACGGCACTTTAAGGCAATGGAGTAAATTGGAATGGGTGTAAAACTCATAAACATGCCAAAATATATAAAGTAAGTGGTTTAAAAATCCTTCTGTAGTTACACCCGAACATTCTGTTGATCATTTTGTTTGACTTCCATCTGGACGTTACATGCATACTCAGATTTGGCAAAACATAACGAGTATTTTTTTATTATTAAGTCTGTTTGTTTACTTTTAGAGCAAAGTCACATTGGGCTATCTGCTGTATCCACCGTGGGGAATTGAACCTTTGATTCTAGCTTTATAAGTCAGTAAACTTATTGCTGTCCTACCGATAGACTTTTTAATTAACGATTTGCGATTACTTTTAAAAGAAAAAAAACAAGAATATATTATTTTCTTCGAGCTTCTTCAATTCACATTTCTTTTTATCAAAACAAAAGATAATATTCAACGTAGCATTATTTTTATTTGAACTTTAATTAGGTTAGGCGTACTGTGTAAATTCTATTATTTCCTGGTGAAAAAACCTGCTCTGTAACTTTCGTGTATTGTTTGCCTTTGCTGTATGACATCGACCCCATTTCAGCGTCTTAACCAATCGTACATATATTACTTTAACCTCAAAATGAATCATTCGCGTTGTGATGTGAGCCAAGTGTCAATGAATGTACGGACTTTGTTCTTTACACTGGAATTAACCGAGTCATATCAACCACATTGTGTGAGCGCCCTCTATGGATTAGCTTGTTTTCAATTACACCGAAAAAGACATAAAGAGTCGCAAATCTCCCTCGACTTTAGTGTTTGTTTGGTTGTAGTTAAGCGGAAAGCTACACAACGGGACATCTGTGCTATGTCCACCATGGGTATCCAAACCCTGTTTTTAGCGTTGTAAGTTTAAAGATTGGGGGGAAGGGGGCTCGTCTGTAAGTGAACGGTTGTTTATTTTAGAGCAAAGCCACAATGGGCTATCTGATATGTCTACCGCATTGAATCGAACCCCGGATTTTAGCTTTGTAAATCCCCAGACTTACCGCTGTCCCAGAGGAGATGTAAGTGAACAGAACTTTACGTCTACTGATTCCTACTATAATTCGTTATTTGGGAAAACAGACAAGTGTGTCTTCGGCTTGTTGTCAACAGAACAAAACTGATTGACCATTGGGTGACGTTCCACGATCCCCGCCGCCTACAGTCGAACAATTAGTTATAGCCTTCCTCCTGTACAACTTCCTATATCTAGTTTTAAAATAATTCATATTCATACATGTGACTTTGTTTGACATATCTTTCGTTTAATTTTTAACTTTTCATGTTTTGTCTTTGAATACAGACGGATTAAATTATTATATTTTTCACTTTGTTGTTTTGTGGTACTGATAACTTTGGCTTCGTGGTTAGGGCACTCGACTCGTAATCTGCGAGTTGCGGGTTCGAATCCACGTCACATCGTTTTTTCAGTCGTGAGGGCGTTATAATGTGACACTATTCGTTGGTAAAATAATATCCCCCGAGAGTTGATGGTGTTGCCTTCCCTCTAGTGAACAGCTATCGCAGTTAGCCCTTTTGTAGCTTTGCGCGAAATTCAAATCAAACCAAACCCTCTAGTGTGAAACAAATGAGCCTGGACACGTTGTACAAAAATAAAAAAATCTTTATTTTCACAATAAATGGAAAAAGGGGCATTCAGTCTCCTAAAGAGTGAACAAAATCTTGATGAAACTTGTGTAGGAGCTATTGATACACGGACAAGACCCTGATGCAACTTGGATAGCTGTTGATAAACGGACAAGACCCTGGTGCAACTTGGATAGCTGTTGATAAACGGACAAGACCCTGGTGCAACTTGGATAGCTGTTGATAAACGGGCAAGACCCTGGTGCAGCTTGGATAGCTTTTGATAAACGGACAAGACCCTGGTGCAACTTGGATAGCTGTTGGTAGAAGGATGATGTCCCTGGTGCAACTTGGATAGCTGTTGATAAACGGACAAGACCCTGGTGCAACTTGGATAGCTGTTGGTAGAAGGATGATGTCCCTGCCGTAATTTTTTCTATACACTGTTGATCTAAGAAAGTCCCTAAAGTAATTCATTCGTGTACTGTTAATTTAAAGGAGGGGGCTCAAACACTGAAGTAACTCTAGTAGATTATCTTACTTACTTACATAAGCCCCCTTTAGTGGCTCAGCGGTAAGCCTACAGGCTCACGACACTACAAACCAGGTTTCGTTGCCCATGATGAGCATTGTGTAGCTTTGTGCTTATCAACGACCAAACCAAACTTGTGACATAAGGAAATACTAGTATTGATTTATTTTAGGAATAACCACAATAAAAATGCTATGAAAAAACATTTTTATTATTTTCGAATCTTTTTTTTATGTTAAAACCTACATGCTTGGTATAAAAGAAATGAAAATGAAGACATTATATTTGAACTAATATCTAGCCATCATACACATATAGCATAACTCCGAGGCTACATTCTAGCCAGAAACATCATATAAAGTTAACACTCAAGATTTATAATGCGGTCATATAAAACAAAAATATAAGTTTTTCAAAGTAATTTAACGAACGAAAATCAAAATATGTACAGCAAAATTCCACGTCTAATTATCACTGTAAAGCCATTTTTGCTTGGTTAATACAATAAAAATACAATCTCTTTAAAGCCATTAAAATCAACTACTGTTTTATAGATACACACATATTCGTTACAGAAAGAATATTAACGTTCAATTTAATATATATTTAATAGTTGCCACAAATCGTTTTCACGGATATTAATATTTTAATAGCAATTCATAAAATACACCATGCTTTACAGTCTAATGTTTGTACCGGATCATGAATTGATACTCTTGAAAAATACGTTTTAAATACAAAGTACATTATTACTATTAACGAACTTGTATTACTCCGAGAATATAAATAAGTCCGCTGAAAAAATTCGTAAGTATACAATAGTATAACACAAAAACTCCTAACAGCAAAGTAAGTTATCAACAATCTGGAGTATTATAACAAAGATCAAGAGTACCTAAATATATCAGAAAAGGTAAAAATCCAATAATCTCTGAGATTTTATCCTCAAACATTTTAATGCTACGTTTTCAGATTCTTGGGTATTTTGCACGTATTAGGTTTCCTCAATTTTTCTAGATAAGAATATGTTTCAGTTACAAAGAAAGTATTCTGTAAAGAAGTACAAACACAAGTCTCATAAATTCCATTTACAAGTTATCAATGGTTTCTACTAAACCAACTTAGATAAGTGCCACTCCAAGTTGAATAGTGCTGGGAATTATTTCTTTTTGCCTACACATCCACCTCCTGCAAGGATTATTAAGTACGACGTAACAAAAAGAAAATAAATGCTTCTACAGCTTCGCTCTAACAGATGCTACACAGAAAATCTATTATGTTGTTTTTAGATATTTTTAGTAAGTAGTTTGTGAATGTAATTTACAAACCTGGTGATTTGGGAAGATGGTCGTGTAAATGTTATAGAAAAGAAAGTAAACAGATGTTTAGCGCTTCCTGTCTTTCTCGGTGAACAAATTATCCGGATATCGTTAAATGTTAAATTATTAATGAACATTTTCACATGACGAAATAGGCTTAGTTAAGGTTTGACCTAGAATTAAGTAAATTTATGTACAAATCACAAAATAAGCACCATTTCCATATCTAAATGTAAAATAAAAAAACATGGCACAAACCAGTAAAGTTCCTGGTATAAAATTCTACAACATAGTTAACTTTTTGTGACATAAAAGCCACACAAAGTATGTTTGTCTCTATAATATAAAAATATTTAACAGAAACAGTAGAACGCAGTTATACGTTCTTGATGAAAAAAAAAAAAAAACTTATTGCTAGATTGATGAAAATATGGGATTTTGTCTCTTAAAAACAAACCCGACTCTGTACTAAAAGATCTCATAAACTAATAAAAAATAACTTGGATAAAAGGCATCTATTCATATATGTATAGATATCAACTACACACATTTTTAGAAGATGTATGTAATACAATACAATGACAGCAAACAGTATATTTAAAATGAATTAATTACAGTTTTTTTCTCTTTTTTTAAAACCTTAATGCATCAGACGACACAAAGTTCATGTTATTTCAAGTATCTCCATCATCACACTATTGGTTTAGATTTCAAGGTCTGTTATTATAAAAACACAAGTAACTTAGAATCGCTGTAAGTTTGAACTTGAGTAACTTGAATAAAATTTCTTGATAATCATATCTAATTAACTAGTTAATCATACTATGTAATATAAAATTGTCTCCGTATTTTAACCACATAAAGTTGTCGCGTATTCTTTTTATAAAAGAAGGAGAACTTGATTCACGAAAATTGGTATTAAAGGAGAACATGATTCATGAAAATTGGTATTAAAGGAGTGCATGATTCATGAAAATTGGTATTAAAGGAGAACATGATTCATGAAAGTTGGTATTAAAGGAGAACATGATCCATGAAAGTTGGTATTAAAAGGAACATGATTCATGAAAGTTGGTATTAAAGGGAACATGATTCTTGAAAGTTGGTATTAAAGGAGAACATGATTCACGAAAATTGGTATTAAAGGAGAACATGATTCTTGAAAGTTGGTATTAAAGGAGAACATGATTCATGAAAGTTGGTATTAAAGGAGAACATGATTTACAAAAACTGGTAATGAAAGAGAACATAAATGTTGGTATTAAAAAAAATTCCGATATTTGAAGAAATTAGTTTTAAACAAAATTTTCAAAGGATCTAATATCTTCGAAAAACGTTAGTTTAGTTTTTTTATCTTAATATTGCTGTGTGTGTGTGTACACGTCATTTCACACACACGTTTTCCATATAAAAATAACGTTGTCACCAAACAAAGAAGTCAATTGAATGTAATGTACAAATGTCATGTTTCTTTGTTTTTGTGATTCATTGAGCTCTACATATATATATATATTAGTAATTTCAGGTTCAGAATATACCTATTAATAAGAACTTATGTTTGGAAGTAAAGAAATGTGTATAACAATACTTCAACCACACTATATCTGTTATATCCAGTGTGGATGACGCCTTTCGTTTAGAACACACATATTAGCGGGTTATGTGTTATTAATATTGATATGGAAGTATGTAAATAAGAAGTCTGTTGACAAATAGAGGATAACATGAGCTTAAAATCAAGCTCTGCATTTAAGAAAGACGTTGTCATCTGATTGTTGACGATAATTACCAGTTGAATCAGTAAAAATAAAATATAACTGAAAATATCTTCATATTTTAAATCCAGATCTGTTCAGAATTTATACAGTACGCAGAATGTAATGGTTGTAATCACGTACAAAATTAAAGCAAACGTAAAGGAATAATATATATATACCGAAAGATCAAACTTTGCTTAAGGTCTTAAACTAAAAACTGAAATTAATTTTTATTGGCATGTTTAGAAAAGTTCTTGAGAAGCAGACGAATCCTATTTTTCTTAACTGTAACCTCAAGATGGCGCTCTCTCGAGAGAGGGGTTGAAAAGTTGTTGTTTGTCGTATTAAAAAAACCTATTCCCATTCTAAAGCTGGTTATTATATTTCACTAATATATCCAATAGGTACTTTGCTAGAGACTTAAATCCTATTTTAGTTCTGTAAACGTACTTAACTATCGCAAAAAACGTGCTTATGCATCAAACTTGAATTTATAAAAACGATACTTGAAATTCTCAATAAAAGCAGCCTGTTTGAAATCCACTTTTAAAATTAAAATAAAACAACAGGAATTTGCGAAAAATAAGAAAATCTGAATATTATTACCGAATATTATTTGTTTGTTTTTCTATAGATGGGGTTCGTTCTACAGTTCACATATGTTCTGAAAGAAACAAATCACAAATACACAATGATTCTTAACAAACTTGTACATAATATTCTAATTGTCATTCTCCACTTTGCACAATCAATACAAAAATCATCATACGAAACGTCATACGACTGCTAATACTGGTCAGGAATCATTTTGACGATATCAGTGAAATGTCAACATTTTAGACTAATAATAATTAAGTACGAGCATTCTACGTTGATTTGGTCGTCATGACGAAACGGATTGTTGGTCCCAATTGATTTTTACTCATGAACAAATTGCTCAAACACCTTTTTGGATTTCCCTTGCACCAAATTCGCCAGCGTATAGAATTGTTCTTTGTCTCTGATATCAATACTCGTGACGTGTTCGAAACAGCAAGGGAGAGAAATGTCACATTTTTGGGGTAACTTTATTTTTTCCAGCTTCTTCTTGGCATTTTTCCCTTTAGCTTTGGGAACCGATAAAGAAATATTGAGAGGATCTGACGTCAGTAGGTCGACTTGTTCGTGAAACTGTCTGGCAGCTGTTTTGTTTTCGAAACTGAAACCTCCCATTTGGCTATGATCGGTGGAAAGGAACAAGGTGTGAAAACTATTGTCTTGGGCCTGGTAATTCGTCAAATTGTCAATAACGTCATGCCAAAGAATAAAACCTGTGCCTTTTTCGGCAAGGACCAGTTTCAATCTTCGTTTATTTCTTGCTCTCGTTTCTCCTTTGTCAAACAGCAGGACAGGGACACCTGTCTGGGCTAGTTCCCATTCTCCTTCTGCTTTCCTCAAATACAGATTAGCTAGACACTGGCACACAAACACAAATGTTTTGTGACTACGAAAAAACGTTTCGACTTGGGCTATGTCCTGTTCGGTCAATTCGCTGTACAAGTTATTGGAATTACATTGAGATTCATCCTCTAAGTCTTGTTGAATATCCTCAACGTCGACAGAACCACAATTGATAGTTTTGTCTGTCTCCTCTACATTGATCCGGCCAAGAGTATCATATTTTTCTGTCAGTTTTTGCACGGCTACCTTTTCTTTGGTAGATGGTTGGTGTAAAGCTTCAGAGTAAATGATATTATCTGGAGAGTTCGTGTCTGGAACACTGAAGGTTCTATTTTTTGAACACAACTCCACAAAACTATCGTTCTCGCAATAAGTATGTTGAACATTTGACACATGATCTGAAACTTCCATTTTTATGCTATAATCAGAAGTCGTTTTTTCGTTTATAAATATTTAACAAACTAATTTTTTTCTTGGTTCAAACTCTGAGATGTGAAGATCATCCTATAAGAATGAAATGAAAGAGTATATCTTACACAGAAACCTCGAAAGTCTTGGAGTTTGTGGCTTTAGATCTACGTAATATTTTATGTGGAAGGTTTTCTTCATGAACTTGTGACGTCACCACCAAATAATGCAAGGTCTTTTCCCCTGCAAATGAGAAAATAACGCAAAAGTTAATAAAATTCATTTACATTTTTACTAGATACACTAATTATTTATATATTCACAAGAACAAGGTTTATATGAACTTGCATGAAACAACACTAATGTAAAACTAATTTTAAACGAAAATTTCTGTTGTAAATTCTTTCAATCTCTAAAAACACTATCGACATAAAAACTACGAAAATTTATCACAAATTTTTACAAAAAATAAGCTGTAATAAAAAATGGAGTATTTACAATTAAAAGGAATACAACTTTAAAATTATTGCACAATAAATAGTTATTAAAAAAAACACCCTAAAAAAAGACTCTACATATGTTTCGTTGTGTGTATGTAGTCTTTATTAGGGCAAGTCCCTGTTTTTAATAACTATTTATTGTGTAATGATTTTAACATTGTGTTCCTTTTAATTGTAAACAGGTGTTTTTAGACTTTGTCGTTTATAAATCGTTTAAAGATGGAGTAATATTACAGGTGCCATTTTCGAACTGGAAACTTATTTTCAAAGTTATGACAGCAAAGAAAGGTCAATTCTTCAAATACTCTAACAATTAGTTCTCCAAAGTGCTATTTAATACTCAGTGCTACCACGAAAAATATTCTGAATTTTTCACTTTTTCTAGCAATACCAACAGGTAGATATTATCAAGGCAAGGACCCTTTGTAATAAACCAAAGCCTATTTTGATTAACTAGAGGTTCTGGGATACGTGGGATTCTGTTTCCAGAGATACAGTACTAATCTAGTACGTTACTAATAACTTATTGTTCTATTGGACTCCTCAGAAACTTTTAAAATTAAGGATTACTAAAATATTCAAGAAGGAATCCTCAACAGCCACGGCACTTGGAATTCTTTTAGGTAGGATTAGAGTAAATTACTCTATGAGATTATGTTCTCCTTTGTATTAGCTATATTTTTGTACGCCAACAATACCAAGCGTGGGGCGCGGGTATACCCGATTCAATTTTATTACTTATCAGGATCTCTACCAGCATATCCTCAAAATGAAATTCTTGTAGGCAGGATTAGAGTAAATTCACCTATGAGACCTTGAGCAAGATCAAATACATCAATCGAAAGGGTTTAATCTCCCGAGTTCAAAACTGTAATCAGATCTTAAATCAGTCAAGAGATGGCGAAGCTATGAGCTAAAAGTCCGTACTTGAAAAAAAACTCAGAGCCGTTCTATGAGCCGATATGCCGCGGCTAAAAAGTAATAGTAATAGCTAGTTGGTTATAACCGACCCTACCATTGTGAGAAACAGTATGTTTTCAAGGAAACGTTGGTACAAGGCTACTGCTTTGGTATCAAAGACATCAGAAAATAGCATGTTCGGTTTAAACAAAAGTTTAAAAAGCAAAGAGAAATAAATCTTAATTATTTGTATCTACATAATTATTATTCTTATCGCTAAAGCTAGATTAATCACGAAATAATTCACGTAAGCTACTGGTTTTGGATAAATGTTTGGAACGAAAATTTGAATCTTGTACAACAACAATAAACGCATGAGACAGGTTTCAAACATTCAACTAGTTTTTTGAAAAATTATTAGAGCCAAATCAACTTTAGGGTTAACACCAATCTTACAGTCCACGTCGCATTACAATGTAAGATAGAAACAACTTTTCCAAGCATGCATTTCCAAATATTTGTTTTTATGTCCTTGTTCAGTTACTTATTCATATCTGAACGTTAGATAACCACGTCATTGTGTCAACCCATGTTTTTTGTTTGTGTTCTTTACAGACACAACTTAAATGATTACGTGACATTGAAGGACTATTTAAAGTTGCGATTCCTAGCCGAACTTATAAAATTCTCTCGAAGATGTAAACTAAATTATGCGGATAGTTGATAATATAAAAATTATGTTTGTATTAATCTTCAAGCTTTTATACCGTTCAATAGCCTAGTGGGCCCTTGCTAACACAGAAATAATTTTGCAGGCTCATAACGATAAAAATCAGAATTCGATACACAGTCACATATAGTCCATTATGTAGCTTTGCGCTTAACAACAGACAAACAAACACAACCGTTGATTCCCATATTACATCCTATTGAACAATTATATATTTCTGCCTTAAAACATTCAGTAACTTTTTATGTTCATTATAGCGATGAACAAACGATTTGGGTCGTTAAACGAACCGTTTGTAAAACGATGAACTGACGAGCAAACGAGATTCACCTACAGCACTTATACAAGTGCTGCCGACCTGGAAATACCGGCTTTGAAGACCTACAGGGCTGCAGAAATGGGTTTAGATTTCTTGTAAAGGGTCCTTCACGCGAAGCATCAAGTTCGATAAAATAACCCGCCTTCTTTAGTAGTGGTTCTTTTATCAGTTCCCGCGCTTACAGATGCCATCCTTAAAAAACTTAACTGACTTGTATTAGGTGTAAGATAACAAAAAGTAGTACGTAAAAAATGCAGTTAACACATTTAGTTCCTTATCAACTACTGGAGAAGACCTGACCGCTGCCTATATTTATTTTGTACAACCCTTGACTAAACGAGACCTGGACGTTTAGAGAGACCAAAGTCCAAAGAAGAAAAATACAGTAGATCGATTTTAATTCATTACTTTAAAACAATTACGTCATAATTTTTGACAGTTTCTTTTAAGTAATCCATGGTAAAAATATTTTATCCAACACATACTGCTACTCAAAAATCCTGAGTGCTGTTAACCCGCTACTAATAACCTACAACACAATATAGCACTTGCAACTATGTAACAACAAAGAAACAAAATGTGTTCAAGGTAAACTGCTAAACTCCACAAACTTGGTATTAGAGGAATTTGAACTTAAAACAACAAAAGGTTTAATAAAACTAAAAACCATTATGAAATACGTGTCACTGTAGGTAAATAACTGTCTTGCATGCCAAGAAAAAGCAGTTAAAACATATCAGTTTTGTCTCAGCGACATACGAAATAGAAATATATTTTGTGCATATTTGTTCAAACGGATGTTGCTGTAAACAATTTGACCCCGTGAAGACTGTTTTTAGCAAAAGTCGTTTAGAACCCGACGGGTACCAGCGACTAATCTCACATCAAGACTTAACCCCCAAGGATATAGGAGTCAGTAAAATCCCACTGTTAAAAGGCGACTGGGTCTCAGCACTGTGAAATGTGAGGGTCAAAAGTCATAATCCACTCCACAAGCAGACGTGTTGTACGGAATGACCTCTAAAAGAATTTTTTTTTTCTGTTTGCTTGTTAAGGCTTTTCGCTCTAAGTTTTACAAGCACCATCTGGATTAGTCGTCCCTGATTTTGAACTATAGAACGAATAGTGCAATTTCATCGTCATTCTTTTAACACGGACCAAAAGTGCGATTTCGGGGCAACAGGCCGTGAATCATAGGACCTTGGGTTCACAGTCCAGAACATTAACCGCTGCCCAGTCAGGTCAAGTGATAAATACATTTTGCTTTTCTCACAAATTACGTTTAAAGAAATAGAAAACTGAGACACGTAACGCTGCTTCAATAAAAGCAATTTCTCAAATTTCTCAAACAACAATGATTAATTCAAGAAAGTAACCAACTTAAATAGAATATTTTTTTACTAACTTCAATGCTCCAAGTGACTTAGCGGCAAGTCTGATAGCTTATAAGGTAAAATTCGAGTTTTGAAACCCTCCGTGGGCAGCGCACAAATAGCCGCCCTTCATGAAACTTTGCGTTTAACAACCAACAAACAATTTACTCTGTAGAATTATAAACGGACTTTTCTATACTTTTATTGCGAGCGACAAAGAAAAGTCCATTTATAATCCTACATATTAATTTACCTACGTTATGAGTCTTAAACAACAAACAATTTACTCTGTTCACTTTATAACGACTCACGGTGAGACAGTGGTAAGTTTATAGACTTACAACACGGTGGACAGACACTCAGCAGATAGCCCAATGCGGCTTTACTCTACAAAATAAACATATAAATAAAAATAAACAAACACACACTTCCAAACACTAAAGATTTAAAACACTCATTAATAAGAGGAAATCACGTTCAGTTTTAACGAAATATTCGACAATGTAGGAAGCTTTAACAACAGGATCATAATACGGTTGGTTTATTCCTTTCTGAAACCAAATTTTGGCAATAGTTTTTATTTCAATTAATGTCATTTCTCGTTATTGACGAGAGAAAACAACTCGGAGTGAGTTCCGGGTTTATAATAAACACACGTGTAGGTTTAACGGTAACTCGTGGTGATATATCTGTATAATTAGACATGAAACAAACTCAAAATATTTCACTATTCACTGATATCTACTTTATTTTATTTTTAAATAAGAAACAAGGGACCAGTTTCTTGGCGTTTCTTTAATATTCCTCAACTTGAACGACATTCTATGTGCACGTAAAGGTTTAGGCATAACCGTTCCTGATTTGAAACTACAGACCAGAGGAAAAACCAGCCAGCCAGTCAATTAATAGCACTCGCCGTCAAAAGGGTGTTGTCCTTTTTTTTTTAAACCAAATAACGAGATTGACTATCACTTTTATAACGCACCTACATCCACAAGCTCGAAGCGTGTTCAGTAACATCGCGTCTCGAAGCAAACGCAGCTCAACAGGTTAAGCCCTAAGCCACGCCCGGCACACATTCTTCAGCATTTACTTAATAGCTTCAAATTAAAAAATAAAAAGTTAAATAAATATATGTGTATAACTCACGAATAATTTCCCTGTTTTCTTGTGATGGCTTTATTTTGTTCAGAAATAATCCAACCTAATTAACATTTGAAATACATAAACCCGCGAAAATGTTTAGTATATATATAGGTACATTTGTTTCTGTTTTATTTTTCATTAAATAGTTTTCGATAATTTCTTTCTTTGTCTTGATTTTATAAACTTGTTCGGTTGAACAGCGAATTTGATTTAAATAGTTGAACAAGACACGTCAGAAAAATGGTATTTTATCAGAAAATAATGGCACGAAAAAT